ATCATCTGCAAACGACCTGACTTTGTGTGCAATATAACGACTGGTAACAATATATTTATATTTGATTAGATTAGGTTGGTACTGGATCATAGATCAGTAGAATCTGATATTGATAAATCCAACTTGTTTAATAGTTTCTCTTATTCCATTTTTAGACAAAGACCGACTGAGTCTGTCAATGATGGTGATTTTCTTGAATCCTCTATTGGACTTATCAATACAATTCACATTCAAACGGAAGAAGTTTGCAATCTACTCAAATCAATAAATACATATAAAGCATACATGAACTCCCTTTCAGATAATCTACGGTAAAATCCTAAAATTTCATTTCATTTCTTTAGGCACGAGGGCCAAGGATATGCCAATAAGTGAACTTAATCACTGTCCTACGTGGCATATCCATTTAACAACAGGGGACTTAATGGACCAGTACACCGGGGTAACCCCCTACTCTTCTCGAATGACTCGAATGATGTACCGGGTTCTTTAAAGTGCACACGAGCCAAATGCGTACACTGGGCCTACGGTTTAAATTCCTTATCCGAGAAGACTTGTTCCACCACCGGAACCATTGGCGAGTGAGCCGTTCGAACCAACGCCGATATTAGAGTTAAAGGTCACGGTGCCCCCGACTTAACCGCTCGGCCAATCAACTCGCCTTAAAAGATTCTGGTCGTGGGTAAAGTTAAAAACTAAGAGCTCTTGGCTTCCGGATAGGTTGGTACTGGATCATAGATCAGTAGAATCTGATATTGATAAATCCAACTTGTTTAATAGTTTCTCTTATTCCATTTTTAGACAAAGACCGACTGAGTCTGTCAATGATGGTGATTTTTTAAAATCCTCTATTGGACTTATCAGTACAATTCACATTCAAACGGAAGAAGTTTGCAATCTACTCAAATCAATAAATACTCAAAAAGCTCCTGGCCGTGATAATCTTAGTAATTATGTTTTAAAGACTTGTGCCGATCCACTTTCTGTTCCAATCTGTTATCTATTTAATAAGTCAATTCAATCTAGTTACTTTCCCAAATTATGGAAATCTTCTAACATTGTACCAATTCACAAAGGGACTATAAATCCAATATTAAAAATTACCGACCTTTTTCAATACTTAACACTATTTCTAAAATTGTCGAGCGTATTGTCTTTAACTATGTTTGTGCTCACGTCTCACCAGCTTTATCAACTTTTCAACATGGTTTTGTACCTAACAGATCCTGTGAAACTAATCGAGCTAGCCTAAAGATTACAGCCTATAAGCCCTTTGATGACAAAAAACAGTGTGACACCATTTATACCGATTTTAGTAAAGCATTCGATTCTGTTCCCCATAATCATCTTCTTTTAAAATTAAAATCTTTTGGCATTTCAAGTAATTTATTATCCTGGTTTTCTAGTTATGTTGACGATAGTCAACAGCGTGTAGTTATTAACGGTAGTTCATTTGACTTGCTTCCGGTAACTTCGGGTGTGCCACAGGGGTACATCTTGGGCCCTTTACTATTTATTTTATATGTAAATGATATTTTTTCACTATTCAGATCATCACAATGTTTAATGTATGCCGATGACTTAAAAAATTATAAAATTATAAGTTCAATAGTGTATTCACATCACTTCAAAACGACCTTGATCGGTTGTGTGTTTGGTTACAAAAATGGGGATTAGATCTTAATCATAGTCAATGTAAAATTTTAAGTATCACTCTGAAGAAATTTCCTATTACTTTTGATTATTCTATTAATAATATTAATAATAATGATAATAATAATAATAATAATAATAATAATAATAATAATAATGATAATGATAATGCTGCTGCTGCTGCTGCTGCTACTACTACCTACTACTCACTACCCACTACCATAGAGAGAGTTTGAAGATCTCGGCGCTTATATTGACTCTAATTTATTTTTCATTTCATGTTAACGAAATTTTAAAGAAAGCAAATCGCATGTTGGGGCTTATGTGGAGAAACTGTAAAGATCTTCATCCTCAAACAAAAATTTCACTTTATCATACCTTAATTCGTCCTTCGCTTTCATCTTGAAAATTTTGGTTCAATTATTTATAATTCTATTAGCTCAGTTCATGTTAGTCGTATTGAAAGGTTTCACCATCGTTTTATGCGTTTTGTTTCATACAATCTGAATGAGCCAGTGAATTTCAGAAAATGTTTATCTCCTAAATTTTGTAGGGATTTTCTTGATCTTAAGGTTCTTTATAATACCATTCATAGTAATCTCGATTGTAATCTTAATTCAAGTTTCTTTATTAATGTCCCATCTCATATGTTAAGAAGTAAACCCACTTTTTATGTTCCTTTTGGGAGGGTTAATGCCATCCAAAATGGTTTATTTTGTAGATTAAGTAAATTATATAATTCCCTTTTATTTCAAGATAATAATCTTGATATATTTTTATATGCGATTAATCAGTTTAGCTTTAGTACTGTAATTGATCATTTTTAATCTTTTTTTCCTTGATGTTTCATCCAGTTTTTAATTTGTTGTTTTGTATTTTTTGTATTTGCATTCTTGTTTATTAACCCTCCTATTATTGGCGAATTTATTCTGCTGTTGGTTGTGGTTTTTAATAAATAAATAAATTAAATAAATAAATAATTAATAGATCTGTTTTGTATGAGCGGCTCTTAGGTCTAAGTATTTTTTTAATTATTATTATTATTATTATTATTATTATTATTATTATTATTATTATTATTATTATTATTATTATATATTATTACTATATTAATGGTATTGCTAAATCCCACAAACCTCCCAAAACTGACTATAGAAAACAAGATAATTCAATTGTGATTGACTCACTTGGTATAGGCCTATCAATAAGAAAATTAAATATTCATAATAACCTATCTTTTGGTTAAAATGTTGATTTTTTTTGTGAAAAAATACATGCAAATACACCACAAACCTCCAAACACACTGCGAACCCCATCCAAACCCTTTAATTACAATTGTAGAACTCTCTTTTTCTTTAAAAAAAATAAATAGACCTAATAGTTTGATGTTCATATCAACCCATTGTTTGTGGGGTTTACCAATACCCGAAAACACATTCATTTTATTTACCACTGTATTCCCTGGTATTTTTTTTTTTGGTGGGGGGGGGGGATATTGGGGATCATTTAAATAGCAACAGCAAAACAAAAGGATCATGCCTAAGCCTCGTACGTATGCTACGCCCTGTATTGTTAATGTTATTGTTGGGCATAGAGATACTTTTCACCTATATTTACTATATAGGCCTACACTACATAAACAAATATTCTCAATCACCCGTTTTCAATGTCTGGAACAATGTGGAATGTGCTTGTTCTAGGAATATAGTTTGCAAACCCAAAATCTGTGTTAGCGCCAATTGTAGACATTCCCTTTTCTTCTCTACCAAAGAAAAAGAAAAAAGCTTCAAAAACAGCACGCGTCTACTGTTGACAGCAAGAGCCATGGTATTGGCACAATCGTTCGCGTGACCAAAGCGTGTATACAAATGCTAATCCATCGCGTGAATACCGCGTGTTTTGGAAAGCAGAGCTCAGGATGGTTCACACAGGGTTACGAATATCTGTCAAAATACACCGTATAAATAAACTACAATTATGTAAATAATGTATATATCTTAATAATGAACGTCGATCGGTGGGGGACGGGGGACACTTTCCCACCCCGGCCCCCAAAACAAAACAAAAAATTCAAAGTAGGGGACATCATACCAATTGGCACTGACCTTCCGTTTCATATACTCATGTAAAAAAAAAGAAAAAGGAAAAAAAAGAAAGTTTATTAAAAGTGTTGAATTATAATAATCATCATGTTGTAGAACATACCCAAAAATAAACCTAAAACATAAATCCTTAAAAACTAGTGGACTCAATTTGTAACGGGATAGTTAATTTTCTAACGGAGAGCGTCCTCAACTTGTAAAAATTGGCCAGGTAGTGCCTGCAACCCGTGTTCTTAACACCGGCGTTCCTCAGGGCTGCGTATTATCGCATTTCCTATCGTTTATATATGATTGTAAGTTGACAGCTGTCACGTCACAAAGTTTGCGGATGACACTACCATCGTAAAGGACTCATTACTGGAAATAATGAGCATATAATTACAGATCCCAAGTCAACGTTATTGTTGAATGGTGTAAACTAACAACCTCATACTAAATGTAGCTAAAACTTAAGAGAAAATTATAAATTTTCGTGATCCAAAATCGTAAAGGTGGTCTAGAAATAAATGGTACACCAGTCGATGTTGTTCAGGAATTCAAATTTCTCGGGATTCACATGACCTAAAATGGCAATCAAATTCCCAAGTATTATTAAGAGGGCCAGAAACGCATGTTCTTCTTGTGCACATTAAAATCTCTTGGTGTGCGACCTGAAATATTGTATTGTTTTTATAATGTTTCTTTAAAACAATGAGAAGCGGTCGCCGTTACAGGAGTTTAAATACCAACAAAACAAGGTATAGAAATAATTTCTACCCATCTGCCATTAGGGCCCTAA